ACTTGTTGGGTCTTTCCCAAAAAGACTCATGGCTGTATTCGATCAAAAGGGTGCTTCTACTAAATACTGAGCAAAGGGTCTGAATACTTAGGACCATGTGATATTTCAGTTTTTCTTTTTTAATAAATCTGCAAAAATGTCAACAATTCTGTGTTTTTCTGTCAATATGGGGTGCTGTGTGTACATTAATGAGGAAAAAAAATTAACTTAAATGATTTTAGCAAATGGCTGCAATATAACAAAGAGTGAAAAATGTAAGGGGGTCTGAATACTTTCCGTACCCACTGTATATATATATATATATAACAAATAGGCCTGTACGAGAAACATATTTTTACTTAAATTACAAATTAAGAAAATGTAAGAAAAACAAGTAGCCTAGTATGCAGAGTTTCGGATCATTTTTGTGCTGCGCGAAAGGAAACAGACGGCAGACAACGGCATCCTATTTTTCTTTAGGCTTATTTTACAAAAGCACAAAGATTTGTTTTTATTGTGAATGTACACAAATAAAGGCAAACCTTTTACAATTCCGATTATCTTTATGACTAAAAGGAGTAGCTAGTTTCTTCCACTGTTAGAAGGAAAAAATTCAAGTGATTGCGCCGGCGCTGCATGTGCGCCCACAGTTGAGCTTTGCTACCTTGACAATGCAGCCTGTTCATTATCATAATAAAATACAGTCCATCAAACATATGGAAAAAACTATGTAGTTCAAAAAAAATATGTAGTAAAATCGGTTAAGCCGTTAAGGTTAAGTGTTATCACTGTACCGCCGTGATGTAAAACATTTAGTTTTACGTGGATATTGGAACGCGAGTGAAGTACATAATAAAATAATTTGCCAAATTTCAAATACATCGCGAATACGGAAACATTTGATTTTGTGTGGAATGAGAGACCCAACGTTGGTTTCAGTTTCATTTGAACCTAAATGAATTCGTTTTGGCTTGTCATTTATATTGCAATAGCTTCTTATATTTTTTATTTCTTTTCTAAATACTGTTAATTGAAAGGATTTGTTGTGGAGTGAGGGGAACTAACACAAGCTAAGTTTATAGTGTTTACTATAATGTTTATAAACATTTCGCATCGTCATTAGGTCTATTTCTGAATGAAATAATAAAAAGCGACTTGTCTCCCCCCCCCCCCCCCCCCCCCCACAACACCCCCTTTTTTTTTGACTGTTTTATCTCTTGTGCAACAAACTTTAT